ATAATGGAAGAATGAGGAGATGGAACGTGAAATAAAAGGCTCCATTCTGTGGGGGAGGGGCTACAGAGGGTTTGGGCCTCTTTGTAAAATAAGTTTAGATGCAGGTCATATGATATAAAGGATCTTGGGCTTTAAAAATAGCGTCAAAACGTGAGGAAGTTTTGGTGAACGTATAAAATTGTGTCCATTTCTGGGCACTGAACTCTAGGAAGAATCTGAAGGCATTAGAAAGAATGCAAAAAAGAATCGGGAATATGGCTTTCAGTGTGTAAGACATCAGTTATGTGGATAAATTGGAGAAGCTGGGATTGTTCTTATTGAAGAGACTATTAGTGGACATTTTATGGTGGGTGTTTAAAATCACTAAGGGTCTGGTCTGAGGAGATAGGAGAGACCTTTGTCTCTGGTGGCTTAGACTGACTAGTGGCAAGTAACACTTGTGCCTCCATCGACACTCGGCAGTGTGTACTATCTACAAGATGCACTGCAGAAATTCCCAAAGCTCCTCAGACAGAATCCTTCAAATCCACGACCATTTCCATGTAGATGGACAAGTGCAGCAGATATGTATTAGAACACCACAATCTTCAAGTTCCCCTGACTAAGTCACTCACCATCCTGACTTGGAAATATATTGCAGTTCCTTTTTACTGTGCCTGGATTAGAATCCTGAAGTTTCCTCCCTAATGGCATTGTGGGTCAACACACAGCAGGTTCAAGAACGCAGCTTGCCACTACCTCCTGAAGGACAACTAGGGACAAGCAATAAATGCTGGTTAGCCAGCAATGCCCACATCCCATGAATGAATAAAAAATAAAGAATTGGAAGACTGTTACCATTGTTTCTCTTGTCATTCTAAATCAAGGAATCTTTTAAGGGCTAGGATCTGGAATGCACTGTGTAGCGGATACCAATTCAATCATTTAAAGGCATTGGATTATTATATGGAAACCAAGGTTCCAGAGCAGATGAATGTTGGATAAGGTGTCATTCTTGCAGAACACCAGAAAGGACTTCTGTAAGCATTTATGATTCCAAAAATTGTTGATGAAACCAGGTTCAAACACCAGCAATCTTGTAATATACTTGTTAATATCTTCTAAAATATGATGGTGACGTGGACTGTCAGTTAGGTTAGTTCATTAAATGTTTGTCCATTGCTTTTCCTTTTTGAATGATGAGGATTGATACAGCTGAGTACTTGCTGTAGAAGATCATCACTTCCATTTTACAGCATTGCTATCACCAGTTTGCAAAATGCAGTATGCTGGCATCCATTTCCTTGATGTCTAGTTAACATTATAACCTGCAAATTTATCGAGCAGTGTAGAGTAGTGCCACTTGTCTGTGCACAGCATCTGAACCATGAGCTTTTTTTTTTTGAAGATTAGCCAGTCGTGTCTCTGGACAGAAGCAGCACTAATTCATCTTTGAATGCCACCATAGTTGGATAGGAACATCTGACATATTGAGATTCTATCCATCCAACTGGGGTATGTGCAAATCTAGTTTTACCTTTCTCAAGCTAATGGAACTCTGAAAGCATTAGGATGGAGAGGAATATTTGATACCTTGGGACAGTGACAAGCTTCAGTTTCTGATATTGCATTTGCACCTGCAAGTAATAATTCAATCAGCATTTATAAACCGTGTCATTCCTGCTGTGGCTTAAAATCTACAACTGTAACTGCTAATAAACTGCATTTGCAGCACTGCATTAATTTTCTGCCTCTACCACCTCTTTCTCTCCACACCCCCATCCCAAACTATCCACTTTTTTGTCTTTTTCACAGCTGCAGTCAGGGAATTGGGTGATGGTCTTAATGGCACTTAGGTACTTGCCAGCTATTTTTTCTCTTTTGGGAGCATGCTATACAGGAAGAAGCTTAGGAAAGCACTGAAGTATACTCTAATACATTTCTTTACCTGCCGAAGTGATAACTAAATCCTTTTCTTTGAGCTAAAGCAGCAGGAATGTGAATAAATTCAAGTTTGTCATGTTTGTATTTCCTTCAAATGCCACCCATTTAGGCTCAGCTCCCTAGAAACGTAACTGCTACAGTGTTCCCCCAACTTTGATAAGCTGGCATTTCTTCCCTTCTCCAGTGCAGCGTGATTTTTTTTTTTGTTTGACTCCTCTGACTTATAGAAATTTGAGAACCTTATTAAATATGTGGTCTTTTTTAGAAAATGCTTTCTTTCCCTCTGGACTTGATACTGTTGGCATTTCACTCTTGCTGCCTCTGAAGGAAGTAAAGTGATGAGGGGTACAGAGGGCAAAGGAAAACAAAATCTGAAATTTGTGAAAATTTGTAAATGATTGCAAGGAGCCTATTGATTTAATTAAATTCTTTGCATCCTGCAGTTGATGGGCAAGCCTAATGTAAAAACATGATTGTTTTTACAATTTGCTCTCCAGGATCTGGCACATGTGAATTCTGTCCCACCATTACACCCAGAACATGACAAGGGACCCAATTTATGGTTCTGTATAGATACCTCACTACTAAGCTTGCAGAGAAGGGAGGATGAACTGGCTCACATCCTTTATTCACCTTTGTTCCCTTGGTTGCATCAAGGTTCACTTTAAAAATTCAACCCTTCCCTTGTGGTTACCTTTTCTCCCAGACCCAAATGAACTTGTGCTTTTAAAAGGAATTAATTTAACTGGGCTTTCTTGAGTTTAAAGATGAATTTATTAATTGCTAAACACAAGCAGTAGCACAACACATGGATTAGAAATAAGAGGAGTCCAAAAAGAAGTTTGTCTCCTGGATTGATCACAAAGATGAGTTGAGATTGACCTCCACTGCACTCCACTTTTTTTGCCTTGTCGATTTAATGTTGAACAGTCAGTTTCATTGTTTTTAGTGTTGTAGGTTGGTTGAAATTCTGTTGGTTTGATTCCTTTTGACTGGCTGAATTCCAGCATTCATGGTGAACAAGAGTCCTTTGGCTTGTAATGCTAGAAGTCAGCTAGTTAGCATGAGTCCCTTTTATGTGCAACATGGGTGACTTGGGGACAATAAGATGCAGGGCTGGATGAACACAGCAGGCCAAGCAGCAGCATAGGAGCAGAAAGGCTGACGTTTTGGGCCTAGACCCTTCTTCAGAAAAGGGGGAGGGGAAGGGGGTTCTGAAATAAATAGGGAGAGAGTGGGAGGTGGATAGAAGATGGATAGAGGAGAGGATAGGTGGAGAGGAAACGAACAGATCGAAGAGGCGGGGATGGAGCCAGTAAAAGTGAATGTAGGTGGGGAGTTAGGGAGGGGATAGGTCAGTCCAGGGAGGACTGACAGGTCAAGGGAGTGGGATGAGGTTGGTCGGTAGGAGATGGGGGGTGCGGCTTGAGGTGGGAGGAGGGGGTAGGTGGG